ACAATAATAAATAACATTCTGCAATCCATGTTGACTTTAAAAGTATCGTTTATTTTCATTATGGTTGGAGTTGTTTTGTTTATATAATTCTCGACTTCAGAGTTGAGCATCAGGTAAATTTAATACTAAAGCAATACATGTACATTTTTGTGAAAAAAACGTAAAGTTTAAACGTTCTAGAGATGCTTGTATTTTATTCTATCCAAAAATATATTCAAACAACAACAGAAAAAAAAAATCTGTAAATCTGATGATGCCACTTTAACAGTGGCGTAAATGATGCATTTTTTTCTATCCCATTTTAGCTGTTTTCGAATTTTGAATCTGTAAATCTGTCACTTTTGTGACACATAATACTTACTGTGGAATACTTGTACAAAAAGTTATGTATAAAACAACTATAAATTTGAAATACGTTATATAATTCCGTTATTAAAAGGATTCATATTTACATCATATGAAAGCGACAGGGAGTAGTTATATGTATATATATATACATATATCAATAAAATAAAAACAACGCACAACGTTTTTGTGTTACTTGCAATGAGCTTAAAATCTTTGGTTTAATGTTACAGAGTAATATGTTTAGCACGTGATTTCATAAGTAAAACCAAGTTGTTTGAAATCGTGACTTGTGAAGGAGTAAATGTATTAGCTTTTGAACATTGTTATCTTTCTCTCAAAAGCATAGGATGTTTGAGTAGAAAATAAAATAACTGTAAAGTATTTTGTGTTGAATTTGTTTGTTTGTTTTCAGATCAAAGCCACAATGGGCTATCTGCTGTGTCCAACGCGGGAAATCCAACCCCGGATTTTGGCGTTGTTAGTCAGTAAATATACTGCTGTCCCACCGGGGGACATTGCGTTGAAAATTACCCTAATTTAATAATATACTTCCACGAATGTTTGTATAATTTCTCCTAAGTTTATATTAAATCGTAGATTATCCTAACTGTTTATGAAAGTAAGCCAGTTTTGCTTCAGTCAGTTTATTGTATTTCAAACAATAAAGTCTTTTCTCTCTCTCTTTCAGTTGCACCTAGGTGTACTTAACCATAAACATTACATATTGTCAAACATTAAGGGTCCCTGGACAGCTGTTTTATGTGAGTAATTCCAAATGTGTGTGTGTGATGTTCCATTTTCTCAGAATACGGGCGTAAGGTTCAAGATGTTTTCCACGTGACTCTACCTTTGTAGCAGAGTATCTGGGTATCTATTATATATGTGTCTTGTTAAGCTCTACCACGGTTACCAGCTACGACAAACGAGTGCACCCACAAATTAACTATTTTTTTAGCTGATTATAAATTTGCTTGTCATCATATTTTTAAAATGTTAAATATAAAATCAGTTTAGGTGGTAAAAATACAATTCTGGTTATTGGTGAGTTTCAATAACTTGCTGTAGCTCGTGCTTTTACCCCCGACGGTGTAATTAAATACTGTTGATAGATTTCTTATTCCTAGTAGACACAGTGGTTTTGGTTGGCGGACGTCACGAAATTGTTATTGCGCAAGCGCAATATTAACTAAACTCACAAAGCATCGTTCTTTATACTAATCCAACGCCATCCGCGTGCGTGTTTCTTGACATTGACCTTGAATACGACGAACAGTTGTAGTGGTATTTACATGTCTCGTAATGATAAGTAGGCCATGTATTGAAGATGGCGCCAAAACCAACTGTAAAGGCTTGGAGCGATTATTTTGAATCTTTTAATAACAGAAACTTTAAAGTTATATTGATGATGTACATTCAACGTGCGTTCTAAAGTTAGGTTAATCAAGATTTACATATAATAAGTTATAACGCTGGAATCGCGAAGGAACAACCATGTACATCATGGCAGTCGTCTACAGCATATAAGGGTGCTGACCGCATAATTTCGTGGCATCGCTACTCTTCTCGTAGGGGTCGCTGTAAGTTGAAGAGAAGGGCCTCGTGATAAAGCTTAGCCGAGGTAGCGGTAGCGTTTGGCGTCTCTGAAACAGCCCTATCCCCCCCCCCCCTCTCTTATCCTTTCATATGCGTAGCTGTATAGACGTGTACCAAGTGGTGTGAGCGGACAAACTGGAACTAGGCCTACAGGTGCTTCCTTTTCACCATGATTCACAGTATTCTGATAACGCGGAAGTCTGTACACGAGCAAGTATGTCTAGACTTATGATGACGTTGATATTTTGGTCCTCGTAACAGTCAGTCCTCTTTTATTTCCCGTCAACTCCACAGACTTTACTTTTTTTGGTGTGTGTGTGTGTATGTAGTAGTTGCGTGAAACGAGGTTTCTTAATCTTTCATTGAGCGATATTGATTTACTCATTAGTATATCTCTGCACAGTATAAAATCAGTAAAATGCTGGACCCACGATTGTCTTTAGAACTTAAAATATATGTGAGTTGTTGATACATTTCCATTGTATGTAGTATTATGTTTTGATGTATTATTTGCATTGTGTGTATATAGCTACACCAATTTAATATCGTGAACCCTAGACGTTGTATTCAGTATTTGTTCGCGTTTACATGTTAAGTAATACTTCAGAAAAAAACAAAACAAAACTAACCTACAATTAGATACTATGATTTTCCACAAGCGAGTAGAAACACGATGAGTGAGCCAATAATCAACAGACCGTTAGTCACAAATACTGGACCAAAATGGCGACAAACCTCCCACACAACTGGCTTAATAGACTTGCGTTTTGAATATATGTTGACAAATGTTAAAATATGTCAATATTTCAGTCATACAAAAAGAAAGTTTTAAGTTCGAATAACTTCGAAAATTAATCACTGAGCGTAGATATTCGATAATCAGGTAAAGAGTTGGAATATTCAGGTTTTCTTGTAATTATATACTTTCATCTTTGTACGCTTTATCAAAAGTAGTTTTATAATACTGGGTCCGGGCTTGGCCTAGTGATTAACATGTCTGGACTATAAAGTCGAAGATACCAAGTTTGTATCTTTCTTGCCGTGGGACGGTGAAATCCCACTATTCGATAAGAGTAGGTTACAGTCACGAGTAGACGGTGGGTGCCTTCCCTTTAGTCTTATCAATTCAAATATCTAGTTTATAACCTTGAGTTTGCAATTTTTTTTACAAAAGTGTCGTTATACAGTTAGTTAGAATTTCTACCTTGTTGTAGAGCTTGTATTTAGTTATTCTACATATTAACAATTTACCAGAATATTTGAAGAGGTTATGGACTTTCAAAAAACATTGTAAGGGAACAAAATTATCAACATAAAATTTTAATCTGTCGTCTAGTTTGCCTTTTGTCTAGAATCAAAATGTTTTTTTTTCCTACCATTTTCTCTGGCCACCGTTGAAAAAATACCTATATGATTTTGCATACAAAATCTTTCACTATATTGGTTATGGAAAATAGGCTCTTTACATCCTAACGATTTTCCCATCATTAATTTTTCCACCAGTTTTTCTAAATTGACACACCAACCATGTCTGTGCCTTCTCAAGCTTTAATCCTTTAACTTTCTGACAGAATTTTCAGAATTGAAATATCAAATCCTTCTAGCGATGCTTCTGATATTTTGTATAAGATACTGATAGGTATGTGAAAAGTACGAAGTAAAACGTTTACTTGAGGTATATCCGGATATATTATATGTTGTTTAATGTTTTGTCGATGATGTTTTACAACGCATTTTCTTCTAGATCAGATGCTAATATCTTGAAATGGTTTTAAAATTATAGATAAATTTCGTTATTCGGTTTCTATACCTAGAATACCGAAATATAAGAAGAGCGGACGTATATGATTAAACTTTTTAAATGAGAATCGTGTAAAATTATAAATCTATAGCCCCAGAATATTTGTTCGTGTGAAACTCCTTTGTTGATTTCCTAGAAAATGTATTTTACACAAAGTATACAAGTCAAATAGGATTTTTCGTAAAACCTGTTTAAGCATCTTAGTTAAATAAAGTATGAATCCTATGGAATAAATACCATTATTATGCCCGCATAGTTGGGAAGAACTAGACATAAGGGTAAGATAAGACGCTCGTATGTAAAAAACAAAGTACAGGCGTGCTTACATAAAATGGCGGGAAATTCGGTTATTCAAGATTGCATTCGTATAATATTACAAACGCTAACGGAAACTGTATTTGTATTGGTCAAAACTTTAAAAATGTTAAATGTGAGTAACAGTAAAGGCGTATGTAATTGATATCTTAATCCTTCTCCTACTAGGAATATCCCCTCGGGATCGTAAGTCTCTACAAAATTATTTTAAAAAAGCCTAAAAACTAAGGACTCACCAGGTTTAATTAGATTTTTTCTTTAATAATTCGCCATTATATGGACTATAATTAAGCCTGGTGAGTCCTTAGTTTTTAGACTTTTTAAAATAATTATATTATGCCTTGGTCATTCAGTGTTCAGTGTAATAACTTTACCTATTAGTCCATATAATGGTGAATTATTATTAAAAAAACAAATTAAGCCTGGTGAGTCCTTAGTTTGTAGAATTTTTTTTAATAATTATATCATGCCTTGCTCATTCAGTGTTCAGTGCAATAACTTTACTTACTATTTTTTCTATAATAATTCGCATTATATGGACTAATAGGTAAAATATTGCACTGAATGAGCAAGGCGTAATGATAAATGAGACGTTTATCCGAGGTACTACAGCGTATATAGCAAACTCAGTATCTGTCTATATATTTGCAAGTACGTTCGTATGTCTGTACGTTGCGTGCTTGTAGAAACAATGGATTGAGGAAAGATGAAAGTGTTGTGGAAATGAACCGTTTTTACTGGTAACCTGCAGGATAAAGATTATACCGGTATTCGGAAAAAATGAAATCAGTAATCTCGGTAAAGGATTGAGAATACTTTATTGCTCAAATATAACACACAAATAAATACTAGCTTTTTTATTTGTGATGAGCTTCATTTTTATATTGTATTTACTATTTTTTGTTACTGTTGAAAGTAAAACATTTCTCTTTCTTCATTTCAGATTGCATTGACGTTATTGGTGGGAAGAATGAGTCCAAGACAGTTTTTGTAGATCTGAGAAATTCCGAGCAATTTGTGTTGCTTCTGAATCAGTGGCGAAAGTTTTCCAAAACAGTTATGTACATGCTGTTAAAATCAACAAACTTGTAGAAATTATTAGGTATGTAGGAGTATTTGTTTCTGTACGTTTTGTGTTAAAACATGATATACGTTTGTATCTGACTGTTCGTTTTGTGCCCCCCCCCCCAGTGGTAGCACAGCGGTATGTCTGCGGACTTACAACGCTAGAAACCGGGTTTCGATACCCTTGGTGGGCAGAGCACAGATAGCTCATTGTGTGGCTTTGTGCTTAATTACGAACAAACTGTTTGTTTTGTGTTTTAAAATAACGTTATTGACTCCCCCCTCCCCTCCCCAGCCTAGCGTAGTCTACTGGCTAGCCTGCAGGTCTGTGAATTTGAGGGATCATGGATCGCGTTCTGTTACCGTAGATGCGTTTCGCACTCTGGGTCCGTAGATGCGTTATAAGAGTAACGGTCAAACTTCGCTATCCAGTTAGAGTAGCCAAAGAGTTGACGGTGTGTTCCGTTGAGTATCAGTCTGTTACTTGAATTAGGGATGAATATCGCAAATAGTTCTTGTTGTTGCTTTAAACAATTTTCAGAAGAAAAAAAAACATACAGATTTACTTGATGAAATTCTAGCAACTGCATATAGCATTGAAATTCACGATTGTATTATCGTTTCGAGTTAATAATATATATAAAGACTTATAAGGCTACATGTATGTCAGTAACTCGCCTTTTTTCCAGTCTAATTATTAAGTGTTTGCGTATAAACTTTCATATATTTGTTTGATCAACATTTTACAGTTACTTCTTATACATCTTTTGAAGTCGGGCCACACTTATATATTAGGTAATAAAGATGTTGTATAATGACACCTTTAAAAATGTTCTTGTTTCTATTCGGTTTTTCTTTCCTTCCCTGAAATATATGACTTAGGAAATGTTTTCAAACAAAATAGGTACTGACTTTTTAGCCATAAAAGAAACTAAACAAGATCGGAAATGATTCTGTTAATTTTAAGGTTGGAATACTTCATACATGTGTTTGTGGCAAGGAGTGAATGGCAGAAGGTAATTTAGCTGGTGTGTTGTTTGTATTTGGAACTTGATCCGAAGGATTTTCTTCAAACAGCGAGTTTAAAGATTCATTAATTGTGATTAAAGTATTTAATGTTGCTGAAAGAAAAAAAACGTAGAGTAAATTAGTTTTGTCATTGAATTAGTCTTAAACTTAAAACAAAAAGCAATACAAATTTTATTGGATGTTAAACATTTGTTGTAATTGGAAATTTTATATCCCACCTATTGACATATCATCTAGAAATATTGGGCGACCGAGTTAAACAGAACATATGAGCATCTGACGAGAAGTTCGTTATATACATAGATTGTATATAAAGAGTTTTTGGTTTACTAATTGTGAAAATAATAACTTTATTTACATGTAAAAAGACTGGATATATCACTAGGTAGGCAAGTGCTGAGACCCTATTATATATTACATATGGCTGTACTATTGGCATAGGTAAGGTCAACTAAAGATGAAAACACAACAAACCACGTGGTGAACTGACCTATTGTTTCTTCAAGTTATTACAGTGGAACGAAATGCATGAAAACTTGATGGGTATATTATAGGCTTACTTGAATATAAGGCTGTATGCAAAATCGCTTTGACAACAGATCGTTTCATCCTTGATTTTTGTGGTCAGATGTGTTGAGACTATGAATGATGTTATTAATGTATTTGTAAAGTTGATATCATTATGTTATTTCTGACACGTTAAGCAGCTTTACAAAAAGAGAATAATTATCACTACAAAGATGGCTGCCACTATGACGTTACTATGATTCCAGTTATTTAATTTTTAGACCAATCACTGTTAACCTTACAACCTATATTAATTTCATAAAAAGTAATCCAGAAGCATTGCCATTCGGAACAATTGAATGAATATAGATTGCTAACTGTTTAATAACCTTTCTTGTGTACTACAGTTAAACGTTAGAGAAGTTTTTGTACGTAAGGAAATTTCTTGATTTGTTATATATTTATATGTTGGTTTTTTTTTTTTTCAAGTTCTGTTTAACTGTAGTAATGATTTTATTTTGGTGTTAAAACATCCCACTCAATATATTTTCAAGGCAAATCACCACGCTTTACTTGTGGAAGTCTGTATTTGTGTGTTAATAATGGCTGTAGATGTTGTGGCTAGTTCATCTGTCGACCACGGAAGGGGAGGAATTGTATTAACATTAACTTGACTCCATATTTCGTGTAAACAGACGTGCAAAAGACGTTTTGTATAAGTTGAATAAATATATTAGCAAATGTTATGTTGGATTGGCGTACGCATATGGTTACATTTCAAGAAGACCAGTTTTGGTCAAACGTATACTTATTACGTGACTTAATTCTCATTATACTGGAAACAGATGTTTAGTTGTACAGCTTTTTATGATTTATAGTCTGCGAATGCTTCATAAATATTTGTTCCTGTTGCAAGTTAAATATATATATAATGATAATCCGTGAAATATTATGACGAATATTAGTTATCGATTGAATGTGATCAAGCAAATGATAAAGCCAACATAATATACATTAATATACATATAAATTTCTTCGGTTATATGAATAACAATATGATAATATAGCTAGCTTCATTAGAAGTGCTTCGTCGTATGCTCCACATTATTGGAGTATTTCGTACTGTATTTTTGTAACATCTGAACGTGGTACAGTACATTATGTATAATTTAAAAGAGCATAGCAATAAAAAAAGAAAGTATAGAAAATTAGGAATATACAATATTAATAACGTCAAAATTCGGGGTGAGGAACGCTCTTCACCAACGAGGCATTATGTTAGTTTAGTCTAGGAGGAGTAAGCGGGGTTTGTTCAACGCCTTTTAAAGAAAAGGTCTGATTTGAATTCCTGGAAGAGACGATTCCATAAACATCTTAAGATATGCTGTAAGCACAGATTGTGGTAGCAGTTTTTTTGTCTGTGATGCTTTGAATTATATAACTCCCAGAAAAGCCATAGCGGATTTTCATTGTGTCATGTAAGAGTATAGTTTAATTCAGTAATATCCAATCAGAAGCTGTGTATCACATCTTTATCTGTTTTAGCTCAAAACATCCGCAGAATTATACATTTGATAAACTTTATTAAACCTTGTAAGTATGTAAATGTATTTAGCTAAACAGTTCTTGCAAGAAGTGGACTACCAGCTAACAGAAATAAACATGAAACACATTACTTGTATCTTAGAAAAAACTCTCTGTTTTGGAATATTAACAATTCTGTATACATTCTGCCAAGAAATATTACATTAATCAACCACAAAATGTTTTGGAAAGGGTATTGTATTCTTACTGTATTCAAACGTGGGAATGCACCCATTCGCATTTAAAATACACTGAATATGTGAAGATGCACTCCACCAGTCGGTCATGAGTTGTATTTATCAGTTAAATTCAAGTGAAACATGGTGGAACACGCATGTGCGATAAGTGAATGATAATCTGGTTTTTATAGCCATTTGTACTTGCATGTGTACAGACACATTAATCCTGTAGATCAGTTAGTCAGCTCTGTCCATTATGACACATAATTCACAGGAAAATATACTACAGTATAAAATCCAGTACTTTTTGACCACAAGATGCTTCTACTCCAAAGCTAATGTCAACATTTAGGTTGAATCGAGCACGTAATAAGGGGAACCCCCCAGTGTCATCACACTGCTTAGTTTAATCTTTAAAAAATTTGTCTCCATCAGCTTGTAGTATAACAGGTAATGGACTATTTAGAAGTAGTATTAAAGATATTGTTAAACCTTATTTTGATTAGACTATCTCTATGGTCAAGGTAGACAGTGTGTCAAGAAGGGTTGCTTATACGTGTACTGGTTGCTTTTACTTGGGAATGTGTTAGTAACTGACAAATAATAAAATTTGTTGATTGTGCATATGAAAATGATAACTATGGAGAAAAGTGAAATTAGTTAAAGATTTTTATATTTAAAATTTGAAAAAAACTGTTTTGGCTCTTGCTACACAAGTTTAGTGAAGTATATCACAATTTGGACTTTATTAAAGAGGCATGCGTTTGTAAATGATGTTGCGAAGTGAAAATAGACTATAGATATTTTCATTCACAGTTTGTGATTGGTTGCCTATATAGGATTTTAATCCTTCTCAAGTGGAAAATGTTATTGGTAAAGTTAGTTTTGAAAATTTGAAATGTACAAGTTACTTATGTGTGATTTTATGGTTATTAGAAAAAATGGGTGGTAACTCTGATTTTGCGAGAATACATCGGGGCTGGGAATATTTGGTACCCTGACACAGTGACATAGAAAGCACTGATACGACATTTTTTTTTTACTTTACAACGCACATTGAAATGTTTAGGACGGTTTTTCTCTAACAGAAAATTAAGTTCTTAAAGAGTGTTGAACGAATCTTTAAAGATGAGCTATTTTAAGAATCTTATCTTGAACTAGTTATACGATCGTTGAGATTGAACTGATACCTTTTTCACAAAGACATTTTTGTATAGCTGTAATTTTATTGATAAACGTATTTATTTCTAAGTACACCGATAATTTTATAACTACGAGAATAGAAGAGTTCTTAAGAGCTTCATGGTATTGAACTTACTGCTAGGTTTGAGTTCTAATCTGTATGGTCAAATTTCTTGAAGAGAAGGAACTGCGTATCAAAAATATTTTAGCCTTACGTAGACTAAAATATAGTCTTAGTGACGACTTCAGATTCGAGAAGCTGTTGTTAAGTCCATAAACGTAAATTAACAATCTCGGTATTGACAAAACGTTACTTTCAAGTTTCGTGATACGAAAAACATGCAATATAATGCACCATTCCATACCTTATCCATATAATCCACATACCAGGATTTTGTTCGTTTACATTTATATAACTTTGTTGTTCGTTCTCCCAGCTATATGTAGATCAATTTAATTTTGATAGAATAATGAATATGTGTTTTTCTGAAGTCTCCATAGATGAGGAAGTACTACATATTAAAAAAATTCTTGTTTCGTTAAGTGTAAGACACAA